ATGTCCAGGCAAGTGGTTATATTTTAGTTTAAAATTATTCCAATAATTGCCCAGTCCAATTTCAAACTCCCTGATTGTGGTTGATTGTACGACCTTTTTAGGGAGGCTTTTCCAGACCGAAGACCATAGGAGCTTCAGTGTTCTCTTGTTTTCTATTTTATTTAACATAGATATGATCACCCTATGACATGTCATTGAAAATACAGAATATAATCTATGCCTTCATGCTATTCTAACTAAATAGAAGGATTGGGTGCATGACCCATTGGATATTAAAGTCAATTTTCTTTTGAACTCTCTTTCTTCAAACGGCGGCACAAAGCTGTATTTCCTTTTTCGTCTCTGAAAGAAAAATTGTGTATAAGTAATTAATATGCAGTGTCTATTGAGAACTGATACTGTAAAAGGTTTATCCTATGTCATTGATTACACTAAATAATGTACCGCTTGTCCTTGCCATGGAAGGTAACCTTCAATCTGAATTAAGGCTTGTCTTTATAATAACTTTAAATATAGATATGACGTCAATAAATGTACTTTCTTTTCCCCGAAGAGCTTCAAAAGAAGCAAAAATACTTGAAAACTTACTGCGTTTCTTTCATTTATACGTGAACAGTTCAACAGTTTCATAATTAAATGAATTCATGTACATTATAGACGAAAGTTTCAAACTTGCATAAAAAATCCATTTCACCAAATTATCTACATATTTGGTCCTTTTGAGGTAAGATATAGATCAAAATTACGTATGTGTATAGGGTTGGGAAATTCCACCCTCTGGGGGTTTAAGCTGACTCATATAATGTACATTTTTTAGCATGTTTTGTTTCAGAGGGCTAGGTATTGTATTTCTCATATACCTTAGGGATGTCCATATCAGGATCGCACATCAAAGAACTTTCATTTTTAGTAAAAAAAAACAGGGAACTATTTCAACAATAGAAAGTAAAAAATCTGCTGGTAGTCGGGCTAACATAATGTTTTGAAGTGTTGAATAGTGTAATTTCTCCTTACTGCTCGGTACTGTTTGGGTCTAACAGCGTAGGTGTGTAGATAATAAGATAGTTATTCCAGTCATTATCACATGATCAAGGAAAACATCTGGATGACACTATTGCATATTCCAATTACGTGACCGTTAATTACCCAGTAGAAATGTGGGTGTGTCTGTGCACTCAAACTTAATTAGCCTTTATGGTTTATAAACAGTATCGTATTCACAGCTTAATATACTTTCTAACTATTACACACAATTACACACATAGTGGTTTTGCGAAAAATGTAGATTAATTAATGGAGAACGCCCCCCTTCTGTAGAATTGGACATCTGCATTCTAAGACACTACTTATAAACCACTGGCCCCCTTTGTAACACCTCTCATTACTGACTAAAGGGCCACGGTGGCCAAGTGATTAAGGCATCTTACATTCTGCTACCTGACTAGCCCTCCACCACTGGGTCGCAGGTACGTTGGAGGCCTAAGTGGGGCAGTCCCCAGGTACTGGCCGTAGGTCGGTGGTTTTTTCTCTGGGAACTCCGGCTTTCCTCCATCACCAAAACCTGGCACGTCCTTAAATGACCATAGCTGTTAATAGGACGTAAAACACAAACAAAACAAAAATGGTATCCCCTAAAATCTCTACCTGTGTCAATCTACTGTTTGATATTTCAAAGGTTGGAATAGTTTATTATGAAACTTCAGGGGATCTCTGTACCAGAAGCTGTTACTATATACATTACAAATTGATATTTTTTGGAACGATTATTGCTTTGATAAATCATTTCTGAAAGGAAAACTATTCCTTACGGGACTTTTATGAAAAGTGATGAAGATAAAATAAACAAAATATAATCAACAGCAGAGTTCTGAGTGTAGAAAAATGCAGTGAGGCTACTAGACCAGGATTTGAACCCTATACTTCAGTTTGTTGTGCCATCTCTCAAACCGACTGAGCTGCTTGGTCAACAGATGTATCCTGGCCAAATAGTGCTACAGTTATTTCTAAACAGAAGTTAAGGGGAGATTACTGTAAATACGAAAAAACCACAGTTTAGTTGGGACATGGAGCCTTAACATAAGGAAGGCGTGCGTGTGGTCAACACAACTATTTGACCAGGTGAAATGTCATTTAAACCTGTGGTCAAGATAATTTGACCAGTTCTAGTGTCATATTCCATAGGTGTATGACCAGGGATTTCGGTACGAGTGCACTATAAAAACGATGATCTTAAATAGAAGAAAATGTAAAATGTCGTTGTATGATTTGAGAAAACTGTTAATATTTGAAAACATACAAACAAACCCTCTTTTGAAAGACTATTTAAAATAAAATCTTGAAACATATTTTCTTTTCGATTTCAAGGAAGCTGACTTTTCTTTGTGAAATTACTTCATTGTCGACAGAATAAAAGGAATGGCTTTAATTTTCTCTTGAAACGTATATAAAACAAAAGAACAAGAATCCTTCAGACTATAAATTTTGATATCACCAACCATATGCCCTTGATCATGGCAGATAAATGTCCTTTATGTATACCCCTGGGCTCATAAAAACATTGATAGATATGCGTCAGGATTGTGCCTTGAAAATCATATCGGGGAAGAGCATTCGTTTTTTGTAATAGGACGACACGACTAAACAAAACGAGATTCTTAAAAACTGGAGCTTTTAGAAAATAAATACATCTAATGCAATTTCTGTATATAAAAGTGCAAAGCTTTCAGGCGTTTTGAGGGTTATGATATTTTTGAAGGTTTTTGAGAGTCAGATTTTTATATATAGAATAATTAAAAAGCTCAACCTTTTACACAATTGTTAATGGTTATTAATGACTCAGGTGTTGATAATCTTCAAAGTGAACACACAGGGCTACTAGTGGTGAAGGCCAACTCTTAGGCTGTTTCTGATCTACACTTAGCTCACACCTTGGGCAAATTTGATTTTTTTTTTCTTTTTCTTGGAAGGGAGTTGAATGGGGGGGATGCATCTGGAGAATGGAGGGTAAAAAAGGGTTGTACAAAAACATGTGTGCTTAAGAGGTTAATGAAATTGCTAAGTACCTCGTTTATCACTGGAGTCAATTGTTTCACCTGTAGTCAAAGACAGGTGTTGATGTACAATGAACAGGCGAGGCATCTGTATGTCGGAGCCTTGTGTACAGTAGCAGGTACAGTTTGTTTGGGCTTGATGATGCAATTTGACTCATTCACCCCTGAAATTCCATAATGAACTATTCCAACCTTTGAATTGGAAGAGTTCAAATGTGTCTTCAAGGGGTGAATTAGTTAATGGTGTCTTCTTCAAAGTTCTCAACAACAAAATTAATATGTATGCAATCAACATCTAATGGCTAGAAGAATATCTCTATAAAAAATTCAACCATTTAAAAAAAACAAAAATTTAATGATGAATTAATTTGTAAAGAAGCATTCTTCCTATTAATTTTAAGAACAGTGGATATAATTACTGTAACAGGAGAGTGAAAATGTAATGGGGCAAGACCAGGATTCGAACCTCGCACCACCAAACTGTAGACAGACACTTTAACAAACTGAGCTAACAGGTTGCAGGCAATTGACCCAGTCAGGTTCAACTACAGTACCTTAACCCTTTCACCACTGTAGACCATAATGGACTTATCCAAATCAATGCATCGAAGAGTTTACTTAAGTTACATAGGGGTGAAAGGATTAAATGTTTGAGATATTCGATGGCAGCAGAAACTACATAGAAATCATGTTGTCCTTGATCAGAAGAACAAGTAATTAATTTGGTATGGCCTCACTGAAGGTATGTAAAGCCTATGTAAATAGGACATTTGAAGCTTTGTTGCTCTATACCTGGCTGCTATCTCTCCGTGTTCACACCTGTAGACCTGCATCTCTCATGCTACCTCCCCATTAGCTGCTGTAATAGGTAGTCCAAGGACAAACTCAACCCAAATTCGCGCTCAATTGGCACCACGAATATCACTTTGGTAAAATAAATGGAATTTTGTCGCAATAGAAAGCAGATCCTGAGTCTTGATATAGAAAATAAATCTTGTAAATATTGTCAGGTTAATTTGTTGGGTTGCCAGTGAAACGTTGAGAGCTAATGCCTCTATCTTGATGTACGGGGTCTCATCGTTATATAACTTGACCATGTGATTGGATATCGGCAATTTATCACCATGGAAACACGAACAGATACGTGTTGATTGGTGGGTAATTGTGGAAGAGCACGCTATACGGTGTAAGTTTTATTGTATTTCCCGCATATTGATGAGCATGATATACCGTGTAAGTGTAATGGTAGATGACATTTCGGTGCTGCAGTGTTCATGATTGAGTATGAGATCAATTTATGTGTTGACGAGGTTTTCTAGAAATTGTAAGCTGAACTCGCTGACGAGGCAATTCAAGTTTCAATGGAAGTTGTTCAACGAAGTTCAGTATGTCTAAATGTACACAAATATCTTTAAAGCATATTTAGTTGTAATTTTTTCCTGTAGTAAATTGTAAAATTGATTTTTGTAGATCTTTCTGAATATGTATCGAAGATGTTCTGATTTCGACACAAATTCACTGCTGTGCCTACATTGTTCTTAAGTGTTCAAAATTATACACATATTAGCTTCGTATTAAGTATTACTAATGGATATAATTAAGGGCATATGTTACCATGGTTACACACATCCTCATTCAAAAAGAGTTTCAAACTTTTTTTTTTTTTTTTTTTTTTATCAATTATTGACACATTTGAAACCTACACCAGAATGAATATATTACAGCTGTTTATATCACATATAGAATCAATATATCACAATAATTCTTGGTCGAATCATTACGTCAATACTAAATTTAAAATGTACCAGAATATGTAAGGTAGCATATAGCCTTAATAACATAAGTTTACAATTTAGATATTATACATGGTTGTGTTACCTATGTTGACTTGTGTTATATAATATATGTAATTGATAAAGATGTAAATAAAAATTCCATCTATAATTCCAGATACAGGTGTGGTGGTCTCTCCCAGACATTATAGCCACCCCCAGATGCTGAAGTACTTGTATCGGTTACACAGTCTTTGGTAAGTACCCACAATGCAAACAAAGCCTCGCTTTGATGTTTTCCAATGTTTGCTTACTTCCTGTTTCACCTTCCTGTGACTAAGGCTCAGACAATGCAAAACAAACTCCGGGGCTCTCTGTTGTTCATTTGATGTTGAAAGCTTGGTATATATAGTTTATAGTTGACAAGAGCTTTGTTGGGGGTGTCCAGCACTTCACGTAGAATATGACGGCCATTATGTTAGCAGCGAGACATTGAATATATGGCCCAAGACTTGTAATAAAACTTATTGTACAGCGAGTAAATGAACCACGGGGAATTGTGTTTGTCTGACGACGTGTGTTTTTATTTAATCGCTAAAAACCTTTATTATGTTCATAAATAAGAGAGTGGTGTGTTGCCTTTTATTTTACAAAGATTTATTTGACTAGGATTACAAAGAAACTGCGATAAAGTTTATCGGCATCTGATAGGCTAACAGGTGAGAAAAGGTGTGTGAATACCTTCAGGACAGGTGTGAATTTAAATGTCCAGTCTCAGTGGACACTTGACCAGGACCTTGAGCTTCACCCTTTGTTGCACCGATTGAACCTAATTACATATTTTACGATATAAATTGTAGACACTTTTGATTGAAACATGTTACTCCGAATAATCATCGACTCTAATAGCATATATTTGATGCAAGTTGAAACGCTAATTGAAATTTTGCACCTTTACTTGTAGCAGTCTATTTAGAACATTTTCTTAACAAACTTGTCATGTTTAAGAAATTCTGATCAAAAGTAATTCACGAAAAGATTTATTTTGAATACCAAATGACCTTTGGTCCTTGTACTTCGAGCAACAGGTGGTGATCAGTCTTGGTCCTTGGTGCTCTTGTGACATATGGCTCACTCACAGCTAATCCCTGAGTCAGTGTACTTGGTAGTCTTCAGGTCTACGAATAACAAGAGGATTTTGTCTGGAAACACAAAAAAGGATAACAACAAAAATCTGAAATGACTCATTAATCAAAATTTCTTGTTGCAATAAATGAAAGTTCAATCCTTTATAGCGAAAATCAAATTATTTTTGTATGTGTTCTTATTAAATTTTATTGTGAATGATGTTAATTTGCGAAAAAGTAAAAAATATTTGTGCAAAATTTTTATTGAAATAATTCTCGAAGTAAATCAATGTGAAATTGTTCATTACCTAAAAACGGTTTTGTGTCCTTTATGAAGAACCATAGTTGTTACAATAAAACAATATTTTTCACTCCTCCTGATTGGCTGGAACTGTGTCATGTGATTCCCGTTAAAAAATGATATTGACCTACTGTTATACCCTTTTGATTTTGGTCAATTCATGGTTTAATCGACCCGAGAAAAAAATAACGATGTCAGACTTCATCCTCAGTAAATGTTTTTTTCTCAGGTCGATTAAACCATGTATCAACCAAAATCAAAAGGCTGTCATTGTTTAATGTTGAACTTATGGAAAATAATGATATTGGTATGTAGTTATTGTTATTGATTTATTAATGATGTAATATAGCAACAAATTATTGTCTTAATCGACAGAAACTAATTTAATGCATGTTTTTAATCTTTTTTCATCAGTATAGTTGTACGCAACACTGGATTATTATGAAAGATTGATGTGAAAGTGTTGTAGTATATTTTATAAAAGATGAGTGATTTAGCCACCCAAAATTTCTCGATGTCCGTGTAACATATCTGTAGTAATTGACTTTTGGTGTCGACAACGAATGTTGTAGTTGGTCAAGAACCCTTATAATTCTAAATTGTATGTACCAACTAAAAACTGTGGAAATATCGGTAAATGGTTAAGAAGTATCAGAAAGCTATAGCAATGCTATTTAGCACGCCACTTCTTCTGGGTTATATCAACTCACTCACCCCTGAAATTTCATAATGAACTATTCCGACCTTTGCATCGGAAGAGCTTAAATGTGTCTTCAGGGCTGAATGAGTTTAAACATCTTACCTGAGGAAGGATGGAATAAAACCTGACAAGGTATTAAGGAGTATCAATGGGTATTTTGTCGAATCAGTCGTTGCGTACTGGTCATTAGTGCTTTGTAGAAGGATATCATTTCTATCACTTCAGGCATTGGAAAATATATTTCACATATTTATTTTTTTACTTTTATCCAGTTTTAAAGGGAGTTTTGATGGGATGTAGCTTAAAGGCAGACATACTTTTATCTGGTTTAAAGGGAGTTTTGATGGGATGTAGCTTTAAGGCAGACATACTTTTCCGTTAAGTAATGGTGAAATTTCTACAATGAACATGTGTATTTCGCTTTTTATGAGAATAATTAATGTACATTTTGTTTAAAGAACACGTCGTATAAAATCGGATTTGTTCACCATAAAAGGTATATTTGCATTTCCGTCCACCTACGGGCTGAATACCGAAATATCTGTACTCGGTCATAGTCGTAACATCGTAAACAACAACTTCTATATGGCCGAGATATCAATCTGCAAGCAGCTATTTTGTTTTTCCTACGGCAGTAAAATATTTGCGATGTAACAACCAAATATAATCACAGGCTGGCATTTGTTTGAATGCATTCATTTTTTTTTTTTAATTTGTTATGAAAATAATTTGCAATAGCCCGGGGAATTCTGCATTAAAATGAAATTTGGCTTCAAAATTTGCAATGGAAGCTGAGGGATTCTAAAAACCTGAGTGTTGTGGTGTCATTTTACTTCTCCGAGGGTTTAGTTTCATTATTGGCATTATTCATTTGGAGTGGATCTGATGTCTGAAGAAAAGAAACATATGTTTAAAATCAGAATTTAAAAGCTTTTGATGCTAATACGAGATCCATGATGTAATACTATATGTATTGAAATGAGATTAAAAAGAACACCAATTAGTTTTTGACAAATATGTATTTTACTCAAATATCATACATGTACCAACAAACCACAATTTCAGTTTGATATCAAGGACTTTATGACCGTTCAGGAATACTGCATGAAGTGGACAATTAATATTTTCACCCCTACATTCCTCATTAGATTGGCCCGTTCCTTTGATGTTGGGCCATTGCTATGTTTGTCTGTAGGGGTTGGAGGTAGGCTGATGCTGAAGTGTCCACTCTATTTTGTTATTGTCTTAATGTTAATGGTCAGTTATAGCCATGCAAGGCCGTAACTCTATCATACTCTATATTAATTGTCATAAAGTTATGGCTAGACTTGCTTTTCATTTAGATATTGCCCCTGCCTCACCGGTCAGTGGTCAGTCCTTCAGTTATTAACACTTCATACCTCACCGGTCACTCATTTAGTTATTCCTCTGGACTTGGCAGTATGTCATGTAGTTATTACCTCAAAGCTTTGTAGTATAAAGCTTGGAGAAAATCCAAGTGGTCAAGCACTACTTGAGCCAATACAGCGTCCAGTTATGAACAGCTGCTGATACTGGTTATTTCAGGTTTATCACCTCATTGACCAGTAATAAAAATTACTGGTTTTAGGATTCGACACCTGTAAAATACTCAAGTAGGAAGGTAAAAACATCATAAAAACTAAACGATCATCAAAAAATTATATTATCTAGAACATCTGATAAGTTTCATTGAAATTTGGAACTTCCAAGTTGTGTCCATACAGATAAAAACATTTTTATGTAGCCTAATCAATAGTTTAGTTTGTTTGTAATTTATGTCCTATTAACAGCTACATGGTCTAATCAAAGGAGATTAGAAGATAAGTGCTATTTCTATAGAGTTGGATCTTGTCTAATACATCATAATTAAGATTTGAAGCATAGAGCTACTTGACCTGTTTTGATGCATGCATGGTCATCAAGTCTTTCTCTTCAGGATGATATCAAACCCTTTTCAGACACAGATTCGTTTGGTTTGGTTTGTTTGTCTTTCACGTCCTATTAACAGCCATGGTGATCTTTTAACCCTTTCACCACTGTAGACCATAATGGACAGATCCATATCAATACATGGAAGAGTCTACTAAAGTTACATAGGGGTGAAAGGGTTAAGGACGTGCTAGGTTTTGGTGGTGGAGGAAAGCCGGAGTTCCCGGAGAAAAACCACCGACCTACGGCCAGTACCTGGCGACTGCCTCATGTAGGTCTCGAACCCGCGACCCAGTGGTGGAGGGCTAGTGGTAGCAGAATGTACGTTAGACACAGTTCTCTGAGAAGACTGATATACTGTATACCTGCTTATTCTAGTGCACTCAAATTTAACACAATACCAAATTTGAACAATTTAGTGCACTGATGAATCTGTGCACCCACTATGTATGCAAAAGAAAATTCAGTAAGCGTAATCATGGTTTAGTTAAATAGTTAAGGTGCCAAAGGCACGGAGGTAAGATTATGACTAAAATATATACGCTTACAGTATATCAATTTTCACCTCCTTGTCAACAATGGCGCAACTATTATGAAACACTGCTGAAAAGTTAGAATATTTGTCACTCACAACACCTGTGTCTGTCAATTTCGGTAAACATTATTGCATTGTTTTGCTCCGAGATTCAAGCCAATGGTGTATGGACTTTCCTCACATGCCCTGGTACCTGTCAGTATCCTCCCTTGAAGCGTTTTTTTTTACTGTGTGTGTGGAATTGGCACTAAGCCATTCAACAGTGCAAGTGCATCAGTACTCTTACATCGAACTGCTTATATAACTCCCTAGCATCATATCAAAGGTCTCTAGCACCACAGACAATGAAACCGTCAAGTCGAGGTGGGGAAAGACAACACCACTTTTTAATGAAAGCCACATATAAATTGATTTTGTCTGTTATAGGTCTGGTGTAGGGCATGAAGGGCATAAAGGGAAATTATCTACCCAATTCGTTTACCATAATGTAAGCTAGCTGGTATCCACGCATACCTGCTTTTAGTACGGGTGCATCATATATTCTTTACAGTTCCAACATTGGACTTCCCACAATACTCATGCAGGGTTATAATTGGCAACTTTTATTCAAAGAAGCTTAAAATGATAAATATGTGTGATGAAAT